ACAATTGACATGCGTCGATTTCATTTGTGCGAGCCCTGTACCGTGGCGGGCTGTGTTTGTGTGTAGAAATGAACACTGGGCTGTGAGCATTTTATTACGCTTATAACACCATCGGCTGTGGCCGGAAAACCAGAAATACAATGATTACATGATTTTTCTGGGTCGCCGTGGAAACGGCCTTTATGTGCAGGCAAGCGGGCCGTGGTACCAGCTTGTTTACTGCAAAATACACTGGAACAGTCGCATTTTCTGGAACTGAACGAGCGAAAAGTTTCGGTGGTAGTCTGGCCGCGGCGAGACTAAATTTTTATCTGCTGCGAGAGCCGGGATCGAACACGGGTCTCTCGCGTGAAAGCTTCGGGTTCCGCCACTGGGCCACAGGGAGAACTACACTAGCGCAAGCAGATAAGAGAGCGTCATCACAGTTTTGTGTGTGTCGGCGTTTGTATGCAGGTGTGCGTGTTATACAACAGGCTCATTGCTGCAGTAATGACATTTTCAGCCGCTCAAACTAGGAGCTGAGAAATGTTTGAGAAATGGAGATTAGTCCGGCCTCGGCGGGGACTAAAACACACTCTTTTCTCATTTGCCGGTGACGCACGCCCATGGGGGGCGGGGTAGATTTCTTATAACGTAAAGAAAGCTAGCCGCGGTTTTAGGGCTCGCGGTCTTGATGCTGGCCCGTTTCCTTGACGACTCGCGGACAGAAGGCGGAGGTCCACAGAGCTCGCCTGTTGCGCGGCGGTTGCGCGGGCGCCTCCCAATCGAGGCCGATGCTTTCCACGGCCTGAGAGAGCAGACGCATCAGCTCAGTCTCAATGCCGGTTCTCTTACCAGTGGTCTGGCGGGAAACGCTAGCGGAGGGGAGGTCCACGGAGCTCGCCCAATCCTCGCTATCGGACGCCAGAAGAGAACACGCCTCGGTGGGTTCGTCGAACTCGTGGACGGACGCGGCGGCAGGCGGCGGCCGTTGTCCGTCAGTGAGCGAATCGAGCGAAGCTGGCGGGCGAACCGGCGAGCTTTGGCGGGCTGGAGAAAGCTCGGGAGCACGCTGGGCGCGGCGCTTCTTGCGGCGCGGCACCACGGCGGGCTGTGGTGAAGGCTCGGAGAATGATGCCAGGCGAGTCCTCAGAGTCACCATTGGCAAAAGCTCGCAATGAGGGCATCCGCCGTCAGCGAGCGCGAGGGCCGCGTGATCCTCACCCAGGCAGGAAACACAGATGACGTGACGGTCTCCGTCGCTGAGCGGGGCGTGGCACGAGCCACAGGATGGCATCTTTAAAAAGACGCAGCTCTTTTGTGAAGAGAAGTGTGAGTCGCGTCAAGTAAGCGAGCAAACACTCTCAGCAGAGTAAAGATACACAGAGTATAAAAGGATATAGAACGCCGGAAAGCGCAGCAGGTACGGCAGTTGAAGGCGGCGAGGCCAGCGACTCCAGAGCTCGTCCCGCTGAAAGGCTTGCTTTGACGGCGCGGCTTCTCACTCCGGATCCAGCGATGCGTGTGCGTCGCTGAAGAGATGAAAATCAGCTTGTACCAGCCTAACGAGCATATTTATAGGGGGAGACTACGCCCTTTCTGGCGGGACGTGACGATATGGGCGCGAATTGCCCCCATTGGTCATTACGTCACGCAGAGTCTCTCTCGATAGGCTGCTGCATTTGCTGCAAGAGCAGCCAATAGGCGCGCGAGCTGTTTCGCCTATGTCTGCTTGCTGCTGCAAAGCGTTTTACATTAATAAAAAATTAAGGATAATTTTTGGCTTCAATATCTCGTGGAAAAGAGTTTTTCCCCTAGCGTAAGCTATTACGCAGTACGAGAGATACTCTCGTAAGAGAACTGTGATACTTTTTTTCAGGATTCTTTGATAATTCAAAAGAACAGCATTTATTTGACAGAATTTTTTTATAATAACATAAATGTCTTTACTGTCACTTTAATTCAACCAATTTAATCATTGAATTTGCGTCATTGCTGCATAAACTTATTAATTTCTTTTGAAGAAATCTTACTCACCCTAACCTTTTGAACGGTAGAGTATCATATATTATAGGCTATTCAATCTGACATATAAAAGATGGTGTGTTTTAAACGAAACTTTGACTGACACTCAAAATACTAAGTGAAAATATCTTGAAATTCAGGAATAAAAATGTTAAAGTTGGTCATATAATGGTACATGCACTTTTACAAGTTGATTGTACTGAAATGTGTGTTGGCAGTGTCTGTACACAACCATCATATAATGATAAAAATCCATCCAGTGGTTTTGTTTTAATCTCCTTATATGTTTTCCCCTGCCTCAAATCGAGCCGTTCGACCGTGTGATGTCACAGGCTCGCACGCCCTTCCCGCGATTGTTGAATGACAACACCGTTTCAACACAGACCCGCCCTCGCTCATGAGGGAGCTGTCAATCATAGTCTGCGCGGCGCGGACCGGCGCGGTCATTGTTGATATGCTGGAGCACTGTCTATGAGCAGAATGGCGTCTAAGCGATTGTGGTGTTCTGTTCTTGGGTGTAATAACGAACACAGCAGTCATTTTAATGTTCCTAAATCCGAACCGCTGAAGACGCAGTGGCTGAGTTTGTTTTCGAAGGGAATATTCCCCACGAGCAACGTCAATGCTTTCATGTTTGCGCGAATCATTTCACACACCAGACTGCTTTACTGTATAAACGAGGATCAGTATAAAGCTGGATTTGCTAAGAAGCTGCTCATGAAAAAAGCATCGGTACCAGATATTCGTGTTCCTGCTGAATCTCCAGAAGAACGGAAGTGAGTGTAACGTTTTATTAAACTTTATATTAATATATTAATCTTTGCAAATCGCTAGCTGCACGCTTCACAATGAATGCGTCTTAAGGTTTACACTCAGGGTACATTACGGCATGTTTTCTATGTATGACGTTCTCAATATAATTCATAATCCCACGTTTATACTGAACAACGCGTTATGGTTATTGTGTTATTGAGTTACGGTGTAGCACAGAACAGAGAGGCGGGGTGAGCAAAGCTCATTATCATTTAAAGTCAGGGGCGTAGAATTTAGTAGGGACGCTAGGGACGTGTCCCTACCAATATCCAGTGAAACTGATATATCCCTATCAATAATTTCGATCAAAACTTAAAATATATTTATACATTGATGTCCCCGTCCCCACCAATTTCAAAATCAAACCTACGCCACTGTTTAAAGTCATATGCACTGAAACGGCGTGCTGAAAACAGAGCTGTTTTTGACCAGGTAAAATAACTGTTTTCTTACAATACTAATGAGAATTTTTAATTAAAGTATATTACAAACTTTTAGTTTAGACCCTAAAGAATCATATTAGCTTGTACAAAAATGGCATTATATGACCCCTTTAAAACAAGTAGATTTTGTGCATTAACTTGCCTGTGCTAAAGCTAGGGTGACCACCCGTCCCGCTTTGCGTTGTACTGCACAGCAGTAAGACCTGCCAGCGAGAGAGAGAGACAGCGCACAGACAGGTGCACATTCCTGTCTGTGTTTGCAGTGACTGTTCCCCTGCGTGTTTCAGCACCAGTGAGAATAGTCCCTAAAAGAGCTTACACAGATAGCTTTTTTTTTTTAAAAATAAAAAAAAAGATGACTTTCTATCTGTGTGTTTCTGGATGCGGTCGTTACCTGGGCTCCCAGGATGGTCACAAACGCTGCCTCGTGTGTCTGGGCATTGAACACGCTGAGGCAGCGTTTGTGGATGGGTCATGTACCCATTGTGGGAAGATGACCATCGCGGAGCTACGGTCGAGACTCTTGTTCCTGCAAAGGGGCGGAGTCCCCGTGCCTCTGCCTCGATCCAATCCTCCTCAGAGGGTTGCTTCGGGCGGTGGCGCGGGTGACCTGAGGATCACGGTGAGCGCGTCTCCTTCGGGGAACCAACCCCCTAGGAGCCCTCACCCCTCATGCTCCGCAGCCAGTTGAGCTTCCATTGGAGAAAGCTGGACCATCCTCGAGGTGTGTACCGGTTGTCTCCTTTGGGGCTCCCAGTGAAGACCAGATGTCGATCGCTGCATCAGAGGGTGGGTCAGACCTCTCTGCGGACGACGACTCGGCACCGCTGCCTCCTTCGGGGGTGCCAGCGGTGCCTGAGACGGTCCCGGAGATGATGGCCATGCTTTCCCGGGCCGCCAACGGGGTCGGGCTCGTGTGAAATCCTCCACCGTGTCCCGAACCCTCGAGGTTGGATGATTGGTATCTCGGGGTGGCGCGCGCTGGTTCTCAGCAACCCACCCCAGTGCCTTTCTTCCCGGAAGTGCATGAGGAGCTTACGGGGACGTGGACGGCACCTTTTACTGCCAGAAACCGCTCCGGTGGCTCCTCCTCCCTCACCACCCTTGATGGCGGGGCGGCTAAGGGATACACGCGCATCCCGCCAGTGGAACGGGCCGTTGCTATGCAACTGTGCCCTAACTCCACTTGGCGTGGAGAACCGTGTCTCCCTTCCCGGGCCTGTAAGTACTCGTCGGATTTAACCGGCAAGGCTTACAAGGCCTGTGGGGAAGCTGCCTCTGCCATGCACGCCATGGCGTTGCTGCAGGTCCATCAGGCCAAGGCACTGAAGGACCTGCACTAGGGTGGTCACGATCCCCAAGTTCTTCAGGAACTTCGCATCGCGACAGACCTCGCGCTTCGTGCGACGAAGGTGACCGCGCGGTCGGTGGGTCGTGCGATGTCCACCATGGTGGTCCAGGAACGCCATCTCTGGCTGTGTCTGGCTGACATGAGGGAGTCTGACAAACTCCGGTTTCTCAACTCCCCTGTGGCCCAGACCGGCCTCTTCGGCGACGCGGTTGAGAACTTCGCCCAGCAGTTCTCGGCTGTACAAAAGCAGACGGAGGCCATCAGACACATCCTGCCGCGGCGGCCAGCTGCTGCCTCCACCCCACCGCCTGCGGCACCTCAGTCTGCTCGTCGCCGTGGGCGTCCTCCTGCGTCTGCCCCTGCTCCCGCGCCGCAGCAGCAGCCCCCACCTAAGCAGCGCCGTGGAGCCAGTCGCAGGCAGGGCGCCCCGCCCGTCCAGGCCCCCGCCAAGAGGGGCGGCAAAGCCAGGGGTAAGCGGCCATAGGACGGGTGACCCAGAGATGGAGGGGACTGCTCTCCAGGAGACGATGACCGCATCGCTCCCTCCCCCGGAAGAGGGCCGGGTGGAAAATCCTTTGTTTCGTTTTGTTTGTGTTCCGCCGCTGGCCTTAAAACCAGCGGTACCCAAATTTTCAATAAAAGAGCAGTTTCTACCATCTCTGGGTCCGAAGAGGACCCGGAGAGCAGTGGGGGGACAGAATCCTCACCACTCTCATCCGCCTCCTCTGTCGCCAGTGAGCAGCAGTGTGCAGTTCGAGAACGCCACCGAGCCGCCTCCTGCACCTCCTGCCCCGTGGAACCAGGTAAGTGCTGCACAGCACACACAGACCCCGCTACGGGCCGCCTCCCAGAGAGAGCCTCCCGAGCCGCGTCCCTGTGTTCCACCTCGCTGCCCCACTCCGGGTACGCCTACGGTCCCTTTGGTCCCGCTTGCACGGTCTCTGAGAGCCTGGTTAGCGCTCCCCAGTCCGTCTCGCTGGCTCATTCGGACTATCAGGCTCGGCTATGCGATTCAGTTCGCCCGGTGTCCCCCCAAGTTTCGGGCCATCCACTCCACTACAGTGAGAGCAGCCGATGTAGGTATTGGGTCATTACATGTATGTACCGAATTTCATACCTGTACGTGAAACGTAAAGCCGGGGCAAAATGTGGGGGCAATAATTTACCAAATTTGCCCCACCCAATTTTGAAAACCATATCACACGTAAAATTTTCACCACTTCTGAAGCGTGTGCAAAGTTTCATGAGTTTTCGAGCATGTTTAGGCCCTCTAAAAAGCGATTATTTTAAGAGAAGAAGAAGAAGAAGCGGAATAATAATAAACGGAGCAAAAACAATAGGGTCCTCTCACCATCGGTGCTCGGGCCCTAATAAATGTTAATTTTAAATCAGCCTACTTCAGTGTGATATGTTACCATATCATGCTTAATTGTAATGTGATGATCAGATGCAGATATCTAAATATAAAAGAATATGGGTGGATGGCGGGTGGATTTATTATTTATTTTTAACAACAGATTCGAGTGATTCAAAGTGCACCAGATTAATGAATTTATAAAATGTTCTCCCGGGGGGGCATGCCCTCGGACCCCCCTAGTGTTACCATTTTACCACCTCTGGCTCATTTTGAGCCAGGAAAAACCCTGCCTGTAGCGTCTCCCCAAGGGCAACAGATCAAACAAGGGGTAGGCAGGGTGTGAGGGGTCTCTTGTGATGGCCTTGGTTCTCCTGATGTGGAGATGTTTTCCAGGCTGGGCAGAGGGCAGCCAGTGATCTTTAGAGAGTCAGAGTTACGAGCTCTGATCAGGGTCTGGACTTCACTTGTCATCCAGGGCTTCCTGTTTGAAAAGTTCTGGATGCGTCTCTTCGTTGTGACGTTTTCGATACAACACTTGATGTAAAAGAGGACAGACTCGGTGTGTATGTCCAGGTCCTGATCTTCAAAAATACTCGGTCTGTGTGGCTGGTTTTGTTTGCCTCCTGAGGGGTGAAGGGTTGGTCAAATCCCTTGCCTCTTCAAATACATCTATAATCATATATCCTTTTGAATGGTTATATACTTCCTTTATAAAAATCAATAATCAAATATATTCATTATCACATAATAATTTTTATATTCTTTGTGCTTGTGAAATTATATTTTCTTAAATGCATGTGATGTAAATAACCAGTTTCTTTTAGGTGCATTCCAATCTTACTTTGAGATTGCACGTAGTACACGCAGGACACGAAGGCCCCGTAACCCACAAGGCCGTTTGTCTCTTTCTCTGGGATCAGTAGAAAGGTTAGAGGGTCCTAAAGGCAGCGTGGACACATATGATCCTTCGCTGGACAGATGGTCAAGCTATATTGAGCGTTACTATCGAACTTTAATTGTTGCATTAAAATGTATTCTTTCCAGTATATTTCCTTCCTTGGGAGTAAATGCCAGTTATCTGTTTTTCCCCCAAACGAGTGAAGGTTTTAGCATTATGTTTTGGTATACTTAACTGATAATAAGGAGCTCAGACTCTCTTCAGCCTTGATGGGAGCTGTTATTTGCTAGTGTCTGTTATTTGTGTGTGTGCGTATGACATTCTATGTAGGTTCTGGACGTTCGGACCAGACAACCCGGCGCCCTTCTCTAACCTGCGAGGCCACCACAGACCTAAATCTAATGAGTGGACGACAACTATCTTGACTAATGGCGATAGGCACCCCTATCTCCTCACATGTGTTAAATTGTTTAGGCTCTTAATGTTTCTTAGCCAATGAGAATCATTCAACCTGTAAGCAATGACGTAGCTTAGACCTTGGAAATGGTATAACTGCTGTGATCTTTGTAACTGTAAGCGGGGCGGCCTACGAACTCCTGTGTGAGTCTTGAAGCTGACTTCTGCTGATGAAAATGCAAACTATCTTCAGTAAAACTTTTCTTTAATTTCTTATAATTCTGACTCCGGGTCTTCATTCTTCATATCTGGTTCTGGGTCTTTGACTGTATACCCCTTACAGTTATGGTGGAGGATGCGGGCAATTATTCTCGGTGACACCCCTGGCAAATCAACAAACAAGGTAGTAAGCTTTTATTAATTGTTAGGGCTGTCTGACTGGAAGAGATTTTGAAGGAGAGCGGGAGAGCTTCACTCCGATGAGGCGAGTGAAGGAGTAAGTTAATTATACTGCTGACAGTATAAGAAGTCGCTGAGAGCGTCGTTAAGGGTAACGGCAGCAGACAGCGCAAGCGAAGCGTGGTCTGTGGGGGCCCCGCTGGGCATTACTGGTGTAGCACCACCCCAGCAGAGCACGTCCCTGGGCTAGAGGTCCAGTGGCACCGTGAACCTGCTCAATCTCTTCCATCTCAGATAGGGGATCCCCGAACTTAGTGAAGTGAATCAGGCAGTTAGGGATACTAACAATAATAGGGTTGTTTGCCAGGGATGCATCAGGAACAATTCCGAGAGAAAAATTTAAAAAGTTGTGACCCAAATTGGCGTGGACCAGTATATGTAACTGTGATTTTGGAGTATACTTTGCAGTTTCATCACGCAGAAGCCAAGCTGTGTTGTTCAAAGATCGCCGCCTCCATTTCTGCAATAACTTCAGGTGAGTATGAACCATGATTAAGATATGGCAAAAAAAAATGTAATAACTTAATCAGTAACCTGAAGAGTCCTGAAACAAATAGTGAGACAGGAAAAGCAAACGCTGTAAGCAGCTGTGCTCTAAAGCCCTCACTTTAAAGAAATTTGCAGAAATTATTAAGTAAATGGTAGTCAGGATTTTGATTCTGATTGGAAATTTAAACAACTTGACTGGCTACAAACAAACAAAGAAACTGAAAAATTTAAATGTTTAGCCTCGTATTGTTTACGGTGATTACAAGAAGCAAGTGAAAGAAATTCTGGGCCTGGGATAATTTCCCTGGACAAGCAACTAAAGTTAAACAGGCACTTTGTGAAAACAACTTAGAATATTTTGCAGCTTATGAAAATTAATGTTCTGCCAATAATAATGATGAAGATTATGATTGGGTTATTATGATTAAATCAGCCACTGGTGGACTGTAAAAGAATACAGAGAACTGCTTAATCAGTGGCTCTGTTTGCATTCCTGAATGGGACACACACTGCTTCAAGGGTGTGATGCTGTAGTTGAGGCTGAAACAAATTCACCAGATGACAGAGAGTGTCTTGATGGTGGTCAGCAGGACCATTTAATACGTAACTCTAAATGCCCACCGAGAAGGTGTTTAAAAATATGATAAAATGACAACACATTTCTGGTAATAATATTGGTTTGAAAGTAGATCAGTGTTTAAATGACGACAGTGACATTTTTCGTCTGAGAAATAAGAGATAAAAACAAGGTCAAAAGATTGAAGTCTTAAAGTGAATCCTTTTGAAGGAAAGATCTATAATAGTAATTTCTATAATAGTAATTTTTATAAGTGAATTGATGAATACAGGTTGATGTAAAATTAATGACTCCAACAAATGTGAGTTGCAAAATATATCAAAGTAACTAAAAGGATGATTGTGTTGTAATTAAACATTTTAAAAAGATTTTAGATGATATAGAGAGACTAATCTCACAGATGATTTACAATAACTGCAAAAGTATCACAAGCAGAGAGTGCTTGCCTCGTCAAACTTAGTGTGAATCCTAATTGGAGATTGATAAACTCCAAGAGAAAACTTAAGTCAAATATTAAACTATGGTTGAGAACTTGACAATTAAAACTGAGATTGAGAACTAGAATAATTATTTTTATGTAAAACAAATAAGCAGAAGGAGTACTGGATTAATAGTTGCTAAATGCTGATTAAACAAAACAGCTTGAAAAGTTGACCATGAAAGAACTAGAAGCTGATGTTTTGCTTTCAAAAGATAAGTTTGTTATTGGCTGTAATGAAACAGTTTGCTTATCTGAATCTGATGTGTGCTGTGGCTGAAACTGCCAGTGCAACAGACTCAATCTGAGTGGAAATTTGTAATGCCTAAATTTCCTGATGTGTGGGCAAAAGACAAATATAAATAATATGTTTATTTGAAACCGTATGTAATTTCTGGCAAAGATGTCTTAAGCTGGGATAGAGTTAAAAGATGATAGATAAAGTTAGACGTTCAGAGTGCAGTGTACCAGTCCCTCCCTCATTCAATGTCTCTCTCTCTTCAATGTCAGCTAAAAGCTGTAAAACTGAATGACTTTAAAGAAGTCTTTAAAATAATAATGCAGATCTTAAACGATAGAAGACATTTTATTTTATTTTAGGACCAGTAACTTCTTTGTCTCATTTAGTCCCCACCATTCAGGACCGATGGCTCCGGCTACAGATGAAGTACACTGAATGTACGGTTGTGATCTAAATTCACTGAGTATAATCTAAGCAGCTAGGTTTCTGCTTTTAAGATGGTTAATGGATTTAAGTGATTAAATACTGTTGTTATTGACCTGTCTCCCTGTGTGAACACTATTAGGCAATCCGAATGGCCCTGGTGACTTTTGAACGTGCCTTTTCTAAGCTCCAGAAAACAGCTGAGTTCTGTTGAAGAGA